CGCGTCGGGCGTTCGCCGACCTGCGGGGAATTGCTAACCTGGAGTTACTGATTGGGGGGGTTTTCATACTGACATCCCGTACCGCGCTGCTGTTTTCTGAGACGGACGCGCTGAGGAGCCAACACTGCTGCCTGGACAGAAATCAAAGCTGTAAATCCACAGGGCGTGAGGACTCTCCGTGTTTGGCTCTGGAATTAGAGCTCCCCAAAGCTCTGCATGGCATCTGGTGATTGCGTCTCGATCCTTTGAATACAGGAGAATGCAATATGCTTATTTGCTCTCAATATCGTGCTTTTGTGTGAGGGGAAAGTTCCAAGCGTGCGTTGCGTGAGACCTTTTAATTGCATTTCTGTGCCCGTCTGTTCTGGGATCTCTTTCTTATGAAAAATCCGTTTTAGTGAGCAGGACATGCTAGGTATTTTTTCTGGCCACGTGTGCGTAGGTAAATATGCGTATGCACATAGGTGTATTCGAGATGGCTGAGTGTCAGAGCAGCACAGCATTCGCAGTACCGGCTGCGTCTACTGGGTTCAGGGTGGGCGCAGTGGAGCAGGGCGAGCTTGAAACCCTCTTACTGTCAGCGGGCAGCCTGATCCAACAAGTCTGTTTTGCCTTTTCTGCAATGGCCAGACGGTCAGGGGCCTCAGACAAACTGCTGTTTTGCAAGCACAGTCTCCCTTTCCCCCCAAGATGGCTGTAGTCCACTCGTATTGTCCACAGAGAGATCACATTTGCATCAGAAATACAAATCTTTTTTATTTTTGTAAGAGAAACAATGAGAAAAATGTGAAAGGAATGACTTTCCGTCCCAAGGCAGCTGGAGAAGTTTCTGTTCTGCAGTATTAGTTGGGTCTAATGACTCCTGGAGAGCTTTCAGTGGAGCACTGGGTTAAGCGGGTGATGGGCGCGTGCCCGCCTTCTCAGCGCTGGCAGCTGTAAAACATCCTGATCTGAAGATACTGCTGATCTGTATTGTGTATTTTGCCAAGCGGCTCGCTGTATTTCCTATTGCTGCTCTCAGTGTGGAGGCACCTGGGCAAATACCTGGGGTTTCCTGCTAGTGAATGTTGTGAAGCAGTGTGGTTCTGCCTTGAATCTAGCGGTCGGAGCTGTGAGCCCGAGATCGTCAGTGTCAGATGATGTTTTTTTTCCATTGCCTTCAGCAGGTGTTGTGTTATTAACAAGGAGGCTCTTCTGTCTTCTCTGTTGAATCAATAATACAGTCTCAGTGCAATAAGTAATCCTTGCCTAGTCAGCAACAGCAGTGGGTGACAAATATTTTGCAAAGTTATCTTACTTGAGTCAATATTTTCTATAATTTGTGCCCCAACAGTGTTTTTATTTTACATGCAGTAACAAAAGTCTAAAAAATTATTACACCCACTCTAAAGCTGGCCATTTTCATTAGTCATTTTCCATCTCATTTCAATTATATAGTGTGATTTCCAAGCGCTTACTGTTTTGTACGTCTCCAGAGTTATAGGTTACTGCGTTTTTATTTCATTTTGGATTTCAAGGTAGGTACAGTATTGCCTATTGCTCCAGCAGCTTTTGAGAGAGCATCTTCCCAAACAAACGCAGAGCCGAATTGCTAGAAAGAGGAGCAGAATGTGAGAGCGTAGCGCGATGCCAAGGTCGTGCTTGGTGGAGGCCAGGCTTTGGTTTAGTAAGCGGTCGTTAGCCTTGATGTTCTACAGAAGCCGAACTTAGAAAATGTGGTGCACAGTCTCCTCTGGTGCATCCCAAGGCAAGAGCCTATAATCTGACAATGAAAGTAATCATCTTTGAGCTTAGGAGTCACTAAGGGACAATCTAGTTTTTATTCCTCTCTGAAACATGGCAATATGTCAGGAATTCAGAGGCTTCAGTCATAGCATTTTCCAGTGCTCCAGTGCAGGAGGATCAGTCCACGCTATGGTACTGCCAGAACTGCGTGCCAAAACATTTTCCCCAATACAGTTGCGCTGAGGTTATTTTAGCAAACTAACTGATCCAAAACATGGTTTCTTTCCATAGGTTTCCCATTCTGTTGATAGTGGTTCTAATCTGTATGTTTCAGTGGCACCCTCAGAAGCATTTGGTGACATTTTGGACGTTGTTCTAAGTAATACCATGTTAGCGTCGCACAGGTACTTCACTGGCAACCAGAATTTCTGACTAATGTGTTGTGTTAAGGTCCAGCTTGGACACTTAGCCCACATCCGAGCACATTGTCCCTTGGTTTCCTGCCACTCAGTTGCCTGGAAGAACAGGGTTAAGATGAAGGTCCTTAATGGTTCGGACTGTTGAAATTATTCTATTTTGTTGTTCCAATATTGCAATTTCATATTTTTCTAATAAGTCTTCCTATCCTTCCTCTTCCAGGTACTTCGTACTTAACAGATATAGTATGGTGGTCTGGCACTATAGCAAGTGAGTATCTGAAAAGGTTTGGGCTTTTTTGCAGGGAGAAGTTGTGGTTAGATGGTGAAATGAGACATCATGAAATCTGGGTTGTCACCTTGAATCTCACACTCACTTGTCACGAAATTCCCCTCCCTCAGAAATGTCTCACCTTTAGTGGACCCTGTATCTGATGGTGTTTGAGAAGGCGAAGAGCTGGGACAACCCCAAGTCAGACATCTTTCTGGATTTCCAAACTGTTTGGTACTTGCAGCCCTTGGAAGCCCCGCGCTGCTCTGACTCGGGGTTCCTGCACAGTTTGTGTCTCTGTCTGGATTGTGCCGGTCCGCTCAGTTTTTAAGAAGAGTCAAAGCTGAATGAGAAATTGTCGCTCTGCACAAAAGGGCTCATTGAGCACACGGTGTTTTTTTTAGATCAGAAAGCACTTAGTTGGCCTCAACTAAAAAAAAAAAAAATCCTTTTTGATTTCTAGTTCGACAGATACACTTTCAATTTTGCTTTTAATGTACAAGATTACTGTGAAGCCTTGTGTAGTGCTGATATGAGATCAGTGTAATTTCACCCTTAGTATCTTTGTAAACTCTGCTCGGGCTAAGTTCACTCTCTGATGTGAAGCCAGAGCACAGGGAGCAGTTAGCTTTCTCCTCTTGCAGCTCAGGCCTAGTTCCACCCACGAGCTTAAAATCATAGCCCACTGCCAGACTCTAACCCAGCCTTTTGCGAATAATTTGGAAATGTTCTGATGCTGTGGCTGAGAAGTATATGAGTCCAGCTGTGCCCCTTATTTTGTGGCAGCAAGGTAAGTCTGTTTCTGTTGTCTTCTAGCTATGCAAAGGGAATGGAAACTGATAGATCCCGTGAAGGACAGAGTGAACCCTCAGCAAGGGTAGAAGCCAACAGAGCTTCAGAGGAAAGTCCTTGGCTAATTTAGCCTGAGTTTCAGTAGTTCTTTGCCAGCTTCCTCCTTTGCCAGGATCACTCCTGCCTAAGTAGCAATAAACCTCTGCGTTAATCACGGCTGTTTATCGCTCGTGAGGCTCCCGTCTTGAATCTCCAAGCAGAAGGAGTTAAAATAAGAGAGGTTTTATTACAGGAGTTTATCTTGGTGAATCGGAGAAAACAATTTCATGCTTAAAAGAGCTGACTGAATCGAATGCAGGCAAAACAGCTGAAGGGAATGGTGTCAGTTGGCTTTTGTCCAGTAGCTAGGTGCAGGTGTTTCAAAACAAAGCATCAGTAAGATCACAAAGGCACCAAGGAAAGAATTGCTTAAGGATATTAGAGGTTCAGAGTTGCAACAGAGTCACAAACAGCAATAGCAAGGGCCAGGCAGGCAACTGTGGGATGCAGAGAGAGGCGGTGTTTGGGGAATTAGCAATATCCCCAGTTGTCTGGGAGAAATTCTAGCAGCTGACATTATTTTCTCAAAGCAGAGCATTGGGAGTTTGGATGACTAACAAAACCCACATAAACTCTATCAACTTCTTTTCACAGTATTTGTTCAGATGGTGAACAAGCATTTCTGTGTTGGCATGCTGACTCAGCATAACACTGCCTAACCATTTTGGAGCCTTTGGGATCCACTGGATTACCGAAGACTGATTCAAAGGAAGGGCTATAGGTTCTGCTAAGGGATTTTTTTTTTAAAGTCAAAAAAGTGATTGCAGCATGTGTACAGGTATTTCAAAGAGCATTCAATTAATTAATTGGCTAATTAATTAGTTTCAGTGCAGGTTTTGATAGCAGTGGCTGGGTTTTATAGTGGACACATCTATATTAGTGTTTTATTGCAGATGGGGAAGGCACTTGTGAAGCAAATCTCCTGTTTGTCTCCACGGATTGGGCCTTTTTTCACATTGTGGAGCAGTGTTGGAGCTCCTGAACTGGATTTTAAGATGAAGCTAGGCTGGAAGATGCACTCTAGGAGCATGCCTAACGCACACCAGCTGCAAACAGGCTTTCAGTCCATGGGAGCAGGCTGAAATAAAACCCCTGACATATGTAGAGCAGACATCTTTTGCTGTACAGATCTACTCCTGGTCTCCTAGCTAATGTGGACATGTCAGTGTGCATCAAGTTTTGCGTTGCAATAACTTTGGGGATATTGGTACTCCTTTGGCAAGCTTAAAGCTTGGTGTGCCTTCAAGAACTGAAGCCATGTCACAGCATTGATGTGTCTGGAGAGGAGTTTCTATCCGGAGAGGACTGGATAGGTTGGCAGCAAAGGTCCTCAACATCAGATAGATGGTAACAATTACTGAGATTCTTTTTTTAATTGGCCTTAATTAGTCCTGATCTGTCATTCATGGTGGTAAGAGATTGTTTGTTACTATTACTCCATGCTGATACTGAAAGCTGCTGGTAAGTTTGGTTGCCTTACAATACGTGCAGTTTGACTGACGCTTCAGAGACCTGATTTATCTGTTGGTGTTGGTGCCATCTGTTAGGGCTCTTCCAACAGAAAGTTCAGGCACCTGACCTCCAAAAAAAGCAACCTTTTGTTAGAGTCACTTGGAAATGTATGTAATCTGCAGAAAGACAGCGTGCCTGCTGTGCCCCGTCCTCCGCGCAAGACCTGCCCCAGTGCCTCTGGATGCCTTGAAGGCAGTGCCCAAGTCGCCACGTACGTCTGCTGAAAACCAAGAGTTATGCCATTCCCAAGGGCAGGGAGAATTCAGGAGACCATAGAAATGCTGCTCATTAACTTCTCTGGCTCACTCCTGCACGTAGAGAAAGCCTCAGTGAATTGAATTAGTATAATTTTGCCGCACTCTGCAGTTTTGTAAGTTAGTTTGTCTCCTGCCTGTTTCCTGTAGGTTACACGGGTCTTCAGCTCTGCTGAGAATGCAAGCTAATTTCGTAAATTAATTCCAGGCTGAACAGCCCCAAATCTCTCAGCCTTTCCTCATAGGCAAGCTGCTCCAGCCCTCTGATCATATTGGTGGCTCTCTTGACAACTTGTATTCTTGAAATGTTTTTATATAGTGATAATGGCTCTTAAAATCAACTGGAAATTTGAGCTATATGTAATTTGTGTTCAGTCTCAAGGTTCTTGCCAGTTACCACAGACCCTCTAACTATGCAAGCATTATGTTGATCTATTATAAACTTGCCAGCACTTGCAAAACCAGCCAGCTTTTCTTTTTTGACTGAAAACTTGAATGCATGAGCTGTTTGTCACAGCTGTGATGTGCAATAGTGTGGCACATCTTGGAATTTGTTTTTATTGGGGGAAAGAAAAAAGTAAGATTGTGAGGCTGTTATTGTGACTTGTCAGGGATCTGTTCTTTGTACAGTGGTCACGAATTACTTTTGGTGTTATACAGAGTTGTGAAAATTTGGTGTGATCTTCTGTATATTGAAGAGCCTTTATGCATGTGCTTAGTATTTCATTGTTAGATTCCTCAGTACTGTCCTTATTCCCTCCCTCCCCCCGAAAAAGTAACACTGCAGTTAGGAACTATAACCAAGTGCATTCGTGTTACACGTTCTAAAGCTGAAATCATGGGTACTTTTAGTCCTCCCCACATATATAAGTGTAATATTGAGATATCAGTGTAATGCATGAGTGTTTCTAATGCATAGTCTTATTTATATTCAACTAAGAGAAGTTGCAAATGAGATTATTTACTGTGCCCTGTTGGATCTTCTTGTGAGGCAAATACAAAACCTATATTAAAAAATAATTTTAAAATATAGAAAAATTCCAGCCATTTTGTTTAAGTGCAAAATGAACACAGCTATCAAATCTGTAACATCTGTTTTCCAGTCTTTCCCAAACAGTTATTGGGTAAGTTTTCATTACTTCTTTTTACAAAAGGATTTAAAGGCTTATTTCTGGTTCTCTTGGCAGTGGCTCTGGGTCAGATAGGGAATTTCTTGGCCTACACTGCAGTCCCAACTGTGCTAGTGACGCCCTTGGGAGCTCTTGGCGTTCCATTTGGGTAAGAGTTTGCTTTTCTTGTTCTTATCTGAATATTGTTACTACTTAATAAGATGTCGGATAGACTGAAGTGATCACTGGAGGTACGCTGAGAAGATGTCAGGCTTAGGACTCTTAGTGATGTATTATAATGACACCTATTTCTGTTTTTGCCAGCAAAATGGCGGGGGGTGGAGAGGAAGGCAGTGGTGAAGAAAGAGTTCCTGAGTATCTTCTGCTTTAACTATCACTGTGATCTGGAACAGACAAACGTCTTTTTTGTTGTTGTTGTTCCCTTCGCTGTGGTCATTCTGGACTCTTCTGCCTATTCTTTTATTCACAGTTCCCTTACTATGTAGATCTTTCCTATTGTCTCGCATTCTTTCTCTCCCCTGCTATCCACAGCCCACATGCATTTATTAATGCTGATTTTCATTTATCTGGATTTGGCCCTATTTCCTGAAGCGAGGGAGCCCCTTGCATATGCATGCCCCCAGCTTCTTGAATGTTATGTTCATGTGAGAGGAGGGAACAAAAAAGGAGTGTTCCTAAAAGGAGTTTAATAGGCAACTGTTTTGTGAATAGCTGAACTACAGTTGTGAAACTACTGCACTGAAAAAGTACGATTATTTAAAAACAAAGCTGTGCATTGCCTCGAGAGTTTTCTGTTGCCTACTGGGAGCAGCTGAATTGTGTATCTGACTTGCACTGATCATCTGCTTCAGAACTGTCCTGGTTGCAGTTGGGATAGAGTTAATTTTCCTCCCAACAGCTGCTGTGTTTTGGATTTAGTACCAGAAGAATGTTGATAACACTGATGTTTTTAGTTGCTACTATGAAATCAAGGACTTCTTTCAGTCTCCCATGTTCAGCTGATGAACAGGTGTATAAGAGCTGGGAGGGAGCAGAGCGGGGCAGCAAGCCAGGCTGGCCAGCAGAAATATTCCATACCATGGGCGTCATGCTCAGTTTATGAATGGGGGTTGGTCGGGAGGCAGGGAGCACTCTCTTTTTCTGTGAGTTCAAACTTTTTCATGAGTTCAGTCTTTTTTCCATGAGTTGGCAAGTGTTGCAACATTTGCGAGTTTGGCAAAATCCGTGAAATGTGTGATCTCCAGGAAACCCATAGATTTTGTGATAGCTGCTCGGAGACTGGCTATGCAATTAGTCGTCAGGCAATGAGAAAAATTGTGCTGTGTATAGCTTGTTTTGCATAGTAGTATTTCCTTTGTTGTCTTATTTAACTGTCTTTATCTCAACCCACGAGTTTTACCTTTTGTCTGTTCTCCTCCCCATCCCACTGGAGGGGAAGGGAAGGGGTGAGCGAGCGGCTGTCTGGTGCTGCGTTGCCGGCTGCCAGGTTAAATCATGCCGGCTGCCAGGTTAAATCACACCAGGAGTGTAGATTGCTTTGTAGGGGCTTCATGGCTGTCTTTAGTTTTGTACACTATGAAGCACGCTGATGATGCTCTACTTACCACCTCTTATTTTATCCTAGGCCATATAATTTTGTCTGTTTTGGCCAGCTATCTGTCTGAGCTGAGCCCTGTAATCTTTGTAAGCAAAGGTCACTTTTATCTCATGACTATGTAGCACCTATAAAATGGGGCTTCGTGACAGTTCACCAAATTGTTAACGTGTAGTCATCTGCCTCAGGGGTGCCAGATGCCTGGTTTGGGGGCTTCTTTTTTTGGGAGGCATTGATGTGGTGCTGGTTTTTGAGGTGGGTTGTTGTTTTTGTTGGTTTTTTTTTTCTTGAGATGAGATGTTAGGGATTGAGTAAGACTGAGACTGGATCAATCTTTCCTAAGTCAGAAATGCATTTTGAGGATCCACCAACATTTGGTCAAAGATCCACCAACATTTGATACTCTTCCTTTAAGAGGGAAATTCATGTGGCACGTCACTGTTAAAGCATTATTAACAGGACTTATTCAAACTTTTAATTTTCTTCCTCTTTCTGACAGGTCCATTTTAGCTTCTTACTTACTGAAAGAAAAACTGAACATTCTTGGCAAGCTGGGATGTTTGCTGAGCTGCGCTGGGTCTGTTGTTCTCATCATCCATTCCCCAAAGTCCGAGAGCGTAACGACTCAGGCCGAGCTTGAAGAGAAGCTTACAAATCCAGGTATTTTGTTCTTTTATTAACTCATAATGATTTTGTGAGATTGATCAAGAGCATGCAGGACGAAGAGGCTTACCACTTCCACCAGGCAGGAAAATTGACTTCTCAGGAAACCATGACATGACAGAGGCAAACCAGTACAGCTTTTGTGCAGGAGAACTATGCCTTGCTGTACTTGGAACTTGTCAGATTTATTGATACATGTGCGCAGAAAGGAAAACGTGGATACTTTTGAAAACATTATCCTGCACAGCAAGCTCAGAACAATGGCTATTTGAACTTGTGACTTTCTAAAATTACGAAAAAGTGTCTCTTGCTACTTAGAGATGAAAGGTATAATTCTAGGATCTCTCAATTTAAGTTGTTTTACACATACACAAAAAAAATACTGATTGTCTTTTGTTCTTTAATTCTTTTTTTTATTATTAAAAGTTTAATTCTAGATACCAGTTATGTTCCAGGCAGATTTCTTTGCACAGTAAAGGTATGTAGAAATGGGCTGTTGAGACATATGCTGAAATGCCTCTTCTTTCGCACAGAGAAAGTGAAGGCCCACTAACTGCGGGAGGACACTTAGTAATGCTCATACGTGCCAGACCCACTTCTATTTTTCTCGCATAAGAGCTGAACTGCCAACTATTGTTATTTCCTTTAATTGCTTTAGATGAAAGAAACTCAAACGTAGTAACATCAGCTATGCAAAAAATTTGCAAACAAAGAAAAGAAAACAAACACCCTGGTCTAAATTTACCATTTCAGTCTGACCAAAATGAACTGGAAATATATTTCTTCAAAACTGTAAAGCATGAAATGTTTTTCAGCAGTCTAAGCTGTGTACAGATTCTATAATGTAAATGATATGGCCTGCCCGTTCTTCCAACTCTCCCTACTCACCTTACTGGGATCTAACGTAATGTTTAAGCTCTTCGCTAGATCCAAACACCATGCTTTATTGAACTGGTTATTAATGAGATGTTATCACTACTGTCTGGCTTTAAGGATTATTATCCTGATGAAAGAGAGAATGGGGGAAAAAAAAATAAACCAGACATTTTAAATCCAGTTCAAATGTGCAACTGTGTGTATTTTGCTTCACGATGATTTGTGCTGCCCAGAGAACATGACAACTTCATCAGTTTCAGATGCCCACAACGCCTCTGATAGCGCAGTGGTTTGGATCTGTATTCAATAGCAAATTTTAATCCTGGTTTATACCTGAAGTTCACTGGTATGACACGATTTGCCTGCTAAAATGTTTAGAAGACCAAGAGTTCTCACCTTGCTATTATCTTATTTTCTTTTTTGTTTTCCAGTTTTTGTGGGTTATCTCTGCGTAGTGCTGCTAATGCTTCTCCTGCTTATCTTCTGGATAGCTCCAGCTCATGGACCTACTAATATCATGGTTTACATCAGTATTTGCTCTCTGTTGGGCAGTTTCACTGTTCCCAGCACAAAAGGGATTGGGCTGGCTGCTCAAGATATCTTTCACAATAACCCGTCGAGTCAAAGGGCTCTGTACCTCTGTCTGGTACTTCTGGCAGTATTAGGGTGTAGCATTATCATTCAGTTCAGATACATCAATAAGGCACTGGAATGTTTCGACTCCTCTGTGTTTGGTGCCATCTACTATGTTGTGTTTACCACCTTAGTCCTGCTGGCTTCAGCCATCCTTTTCAGGGAATGGAGTAATGTAGGAGTGGTAGATTTCTTGGGAATGGCTTGTGGATTCACCACAGTATCTATTGGAATTGTTCTTATACAAGTCTTCAAGGAATTCAACTTCAATATCGGGGATTTAAATAAACCTAACATGAAGACAGATTAAAGGTTTTTTTTTTTTTGAGGGAAACTGGGTGGCTCAGGGAAGGATGCAGAGCCTTTCATTTCTAGGTCACTGATTCAAATATGATTCAGGTTGGTAGTTGCCCTCTGACAATTTGGTGGCCTACGTGAATGAATTAGAGGCCTCCATCCAGTTTCAAAGGAGCAGTTGTCCATGTACCCCAGTCAATGACAATAAATGACCGTAATTGGAACCACTGATTGAGTCAACCTAGAGACCGATGTATTTCCCTACTGTGAAAGGTGATCCATCAGAAAAGATCAGGGGATATTATGACAGACCTGTGTGTGAAAGCTTGTATTGTGCCTTCTGAGGTACCATTTCTGTGGGCAGAGCACATCAGTTTCTAATGCACTCAATCTGACACCTTTCATGAGCGATGTATACCTTAAAACACAGGGAGGGGAAAAAGTGAGTGGAACAGTTTGTTAATACCAGTACAGCAACATGTTCACCATCAAGGCTGTGAATTCTGAGACAAATGTTTGTTGAACCATGGACTGCAGATCTGTCCTTCTTAGTGACTGCCTCGGCAACTTGGTCTGCCATGCGGTGAAGACACTGGGGAGTTTAAAATTGAATTCTTTACACTGAGCAGTGGACCCTTAAAAATATTTCACTAATTACTTATCAGCTGATGGTAGTGTCCAGGTATGCATTTTTCTTTGTAACTTGCGTGCATTAAGACATAATGCATTCATCTGAGAGTTTTTAATTGGGAGCAGACAGAAAGACTCTGAAGGATGTGGAAATGATGCACAGACTCATTGCCTATATGGTGGCTTATTTGTAAGAAGCTCAGAACTATTTCAGTGCCTTTGCAATCGAAAACTACTGCATAAATGTGAATGTACCTGTTTCAGATGGCCTATACTGGTTTAATAATTCAATTTCACTGTCTATAATATTGGATTGTGTTCAAATTCTAAACACATAAAGCATCCAGGAGGAGCCACACGTTTTTGGAAGAATTTACAAATCTGAACTGAAACCCTTAGATGCCTTGACAGCTTCTGAAAAACCCGTAGTCCTAATGGGAAGAGGTAATCTACGGGAGGACTGTTCAAAGCAGTCCAGCATACTTTTGTTCTAGTTAAGTGATTAACTACAGGAAACCATTTTGTGGAGTAGCTTATAAGCAGCGACCACAAAAAAAAAAATTAGAGAGAAGAGGATGAGATTTCTCATAGCTCAAAAAAAGATGGTTTGATCCTCTTGTAACATGGGAAAACGAGGTTAAAGCCTGAAGACGCATAGGCATTCAGAGAGCCAAGTTTCAGATAACCAGCAGGGATATATATTCAGATCCAGTAATTTACAGACCTGTGTGAACAGTTCAGCAATAATACTTTGGCAAGTAGTACAAAGAGCTTAAGCTGTGATTGGAATGATTCTGAACTGTTCAGTTTAAACCATTTAGAGATATGTCAAAGAAAGAAACAGTTTTCATGCTGTACTTACATTTGGTAGTTAAAACATCACGAGTCAAAAACATGTAAGGAAAGCTTGAAAAGTAATCACTGTTGGCTTCCATTTCAGTGCAAAAATGGAAGGGTACAGTGGCATTCAATATCTCTAGTTCTGAATGTCCCTTGAAACAAAGAAACCCCAATGTGATTAGGAGACACCATTTGAAAAAGTTCATGACACTTTATCAAGAAATCACGAATGTAGCTTTGTGGCTGGCTGACAGGAATGCAGACGTTGATTAATGGGGAATAACATTGTCCACTCTCATTATGTTTTTTGTTGACTTGAATTAATTACCTTAAAACTCAGCCTCTGTTTTCATTTAAAATGAATGTTATAAGCCTTTCTGATGGCAGCAATAATGGTGAACAATGAATGCTAAAGATTTAGTATTCTAAGGGAGTGAGAGCCCCACTATGTTATTTCGAAGCTTGTTTTATAACTCCAAACTGGGGGGGAAATGACTCCGAGTTGGCAGAAATGCACATTTTTATAGGCCAGCACGGAAACTGGGTATCTTGGTGAAATAAAATAGTGCTGGGAAAGCAAAGGCCATCTTCATGGATTTTCAAATACTGTGTATGGTTTCTAGAAAGTTTGAGAACTGTAGATGAGGGGTATTGGACTATGAAAGCTGGTTAAAACTAACATCTGTCCGTTATTGATTGGAAGGTGGTATCTTGGTTGTCAGCAGACACTTATGTTTTGTCATATTAATTCCCTTTTTTTGGCTGAAACTAGAATTTTACATAGGTTATGAGACTTGTAATGACCTACTATTTAAAACAATGATGTTAGCTGTTTTATGAAGCAGTCAAGTTGTCTGTTCATGACGCAGATTCAGAGTTCATGAGTTGCGTGTTGGTTTTGTACTAGCCTTTAATCTCTGAAGTCTTGTGTGAAAATCTTCGGTTAGAATGGAAATGATTGTGGTCTCATCTTAGTCCTCCTTTGGCCATATTTGTTTGTCTTGTTTTGTTTTAAAATTAATTCCTATTTATTTAGAAAGTGCCTATCCTGGTATGTTAGGTGCATATGCAAATTATTAGTACATCTTAGATCCAAAATAACTTGACTGCCCTGTCTAAACCTTGCCATTTTCTGCACTGGACACACACAAGTGTACTTGATAGGCACTCACTATGCGGAGTAAGGGTAAAGCAGCAGCTGTGTTCTGTGGTGGTCTGACCATCCTTACAGCTGACAAATTGTCTGCATAGGTTTCTTCTCCCCAGCTGCTCCTCATCTGTGATGAGCTTTCTAGAAATGCCTAGTTAACCTTGTTGTTTAAAACAGAGATGTCAGCACATAAGGTGAAAGAAATTCTAGTGGCCTTGCACATGATTTATATTTACAGTCTTTTACATCACGAATGCTAAATAATGGAAATATTTATTTTTGCTACTTTGTTCAGTGTGTAGCAGTGTTCTTTTGAGTTCTGCTGTATCTGGATCTGGTTCAGTTCTAACTTTAGAAATGTGTTAGCATTTTCCGTTGTCACTGTTGGTGTGATTCTTCCCCCCTCCATCCCATGCCCTCCTCATTCTAGGTCTCCTGCCTCTTTTAGTCCTGTTGCTTTTCTGATTTAAAAGGAGGCACTGTTGAAGTTGAATTGTAGCCATTCCCTCTTTTTTTTTCTTTTCCCACCCCTTTGACAAGTAAGTACTTTGAATTAAGACAGATATCTGAGTTCCATCATCTCAGGGAGCAAACGTGCATAGTTGTTTCCTGAGCTTTGGTGTCCCTCATGGGTCTGCCCTTTTCACATTCTCTTTGCATTACATCTAGCAATAGCTACGAGCCAAATGACTTCAGTTCTGATTCCAAAGTAGAAGTGGGAGAGGCTACGCATATAAGAGTGGACTCATTACAGTGGTGGGATGCATTTGAATTAAATTCAAATCTGTATGAAAGGTGTTGCGCACCGTATGTCTGGCTTCTATTATACTTGTCAAACATTTACTTGGTACTCACTTGAAGACAGCTCTTTGATCACTATCCCTTCAGTGTATGGAGGATTTACATGTGTCAGTCACGATCTTTATTAGGTGTAAAACACAAATATCCCTCAAATGTTCAGTAGGAGAAACATTTTTGATACAACCAAAAAGAAAAATTTGTTACACCTTAAATACTTACGTAAAAAAGAAAAATATCTAAACAAGTTATCTGCTGTATTGACTTTCCAGGACTCTGTATGTGTAAATAGAGCCTATTTATTAGTGAGCTGCAACTAACATTAGTAAGAACCTGTCACATCACAGTTTGACAAGTGAGGCTTCTTATTAATAATCTCAGTTTATATTGAACTTATGTATTTTTCTGAAGGAACTAGCACTGAAAAATGAAAACACTGGATTTTATTTGTTGAAATACTAGAATCAGAGGTTTAGCTTTCCTTTTTATTTAAAAAATGGAGGGTTAGTATTTGAAGAAAGATTCAGGGTTACTAAATAAGGGGTGCTTAAAATGGGCTGCTGTTTGCACACGTTATACACCCCTCACCTTGTTTCATAAGTATAAAACATCAAGGATTCTACAGATCTTCCTTAGTTGTCTTGAGATGGTATAACTTCTGAAGTTTTACTGTTAAATTAAATGTTATCAAATGTTTCTCTATTACTTGTTTTCTTTAGAGATCAATCTTTGTAATAACTCTTTGGTGCTACTGAATATGGGCTTAAGTGCTGCAGAATTTTAGTGTGTACCATGTTAGGCACCAATGATGTCAACAATTGTTATTACTAGTGCCCAAGTGTTTCAGACAGCAGTGTTGAAATGTTATGGATTAAGAAATCTTTTCTAAAAGCTGCAAATAAGGAGGTTTTTTATTGGGTGGGTTTTTGTTGTTGTGGTGTCCCCCCCTAACAGTTGCTGTACAGAGTGGAAAATATTACACAAAAGGAGTTTCCTTTTTCAATTGTGGAACTTTCTCTCTTTTTTTTTCTCCTTTTTTTTTCCCTGGAATGTGAAAAATAGTTCTAATGGGATATGGGAAAAAGGTGGATGGCCGCAAACATACAGTGTCAGGTTTGGTTGCTTCAATCCTATTGCAATATAGTTACTACAGATTACATAAAAATGGTTTATTTTATTAGCTTCCAAATAATGTATATATAGATTTGTTAATGGCTTACAAGTCAAGCTTACTCTCTTTGCTTTTTAAGAAATAGTTATAGGCATGTTGTATTTGCCTTGTGTAAATTATAAAAGGCTATTTATTAAGTTTTCTGATAACTAATCTATTTATTAACCTGTATCGTTTTAAAATAAATGATTTATTTCTAGCTCAACGCATGTTTCGTGACTCCTCTCTATCATGGGGGGCGGGAGGGAGGACAGGATCAGTTTCCCACACATCTAACTGCTATACAGCCTAGTCCCAATTCACAAGCCCAAACAGTTCCCATTACCCTTTCATAAAATGCCAGCCTTGCTTTTACCGAGTAGCAGACTTTCATGCATGCAGACCAGTTGCCATATGAAGGGCTCAGTCATCACGTAGCGCTGGA